CGATAACAGGTAGCCATCATTTGTTCACTTACTTCAACTCCACCATTAATCCATAGTAACATTTTCCTATGAAAATCCTGAGGTGATTGACTCTGTGAGCGTAATTCCACAACAAAGTTTGGTGCAACTGGTGGAAATGCTAGATGTCTATCGGCATTTGATAAAGCATTCCATCTGCAATAAAATAGAAATTAAAGACATACACGTTATCTTTTTATTTAACGTTCAAACTTCAAACCTGGCACTCAGTACAACAGAAGCATCAGGTCCCAGAATGGTAGGTTTAAGATCATCAATAGTATTAGGTAAAGTATAGCATCCCTACAATCAATAAAGAATTATTAGAGACAAACAAGAAAAGATAATGCTTGCATAACATACTTGAGAGCCACCAGCTTTTCCAACCAAGTTCCTGTTGGCAAAGACCCAGTTATAAAGTTGCCCAATAATATCAAATTCTCTTTCATCTAAAATCCATTTTTTTTTACATATTATTTAGCATAAAAAAGCAACATTTTAATTATCAAGCAGTGATCTAGTAAATAGTATACCGGTTTCAGTATGAACTGGGCTTGGAGGCATTATTTCAAGTTGACCTTGGATAAGATTCATTCGATAGAGGGAGTGAGGATTTGCTAATGCAGTTTTTTCGAAGTGTATGTAATCAATATCGGGAATAATTAAATGTGGGATGTAGAAAGGCATTCTGAAAGTTCCAAATTTATCATGGAGCTGTGTGTCGCATATAAATATAAATGATATAATATGTAAGTATAATTATTCAGATTTCGCTTTACAGAAGCCCTTCATTACAGGGTGAACTATATAATTTTACTTTATTTCTTATGATAATTGGTCGAATAAAACATACCGATGTTAACGTCCTCCGATTTTTTCCTCGACTTGATATTTAAAAAAAATTATGTCAGACAATTAAAAATAATAACAAGAGACAAAAACGGCATTCATACTTGGAGGTTAGAAACAAGAATACTTGATACCACAGCCAAAGAGGTCCAAGAACACTGCAAGATATGAAAATAACAAAAGGTGCAAGAAGAAGCGCAAGCAACAAAAAAAAAGAATTTAGGTAATCAGATCATACGACATGCAAAATTTCCATGACTTTCTAATTTATATTGGCACATGTGTGACATCAATTGTCACAATGGCCCCCCAGGTCACAGGCACGCAACTTATACTAACGGGATATAAAT